CCTGTGGCAAGAGGCCTCCTCCTCAGGAAGCAGAGAGCAGAACACGGCCCCCTGGCTCTCACCCTGGAAGACACAAGTGTGTGTGACAACCACATGTGTGTCACAATGTGGCGGATGGCATCCCTTGGCGGCACAACATGTTTGCTGGTTCAGGTCTCTGCTTCCTACGATGCCAGCCCAGGCCCCACCTCCCAGTCTCCCAGCACTGGGAGAATGTCCAAGCCACAGCAGAGGAGCAGAAAGTGGCCCCTTCCTCCCATCCCATAAAGCACAGGGGCGTGTGTAATGCCCAGAAGTCTTACCCAAATGTACAAGGTAAAGAAAGCAGCACCGTGCCCAGTATTAGCCCAGCGAGAGTGGCAGCTGGGGGACGCTCAGAGCAGCCTGGGGGCCTGGATGGGGGGCAGCTAAGGAGGACGGGGTCACGGGGGAACTTGGGGTGCTTATAATAGTCGGCTTTGGGGGGGTGTCTAGGGATTAAATCTAGGTCTTTTGCACTGAGCTATTCCCCAGCCCTTGGGGACAGAGTCTTGTTAAGTCACCACCTTTCCCAGGAAGAGCTCAGATGTGGCATCTTCCTGCCCCAGCCTTGGAATACTGGGGTCACAGGTGTGCACCCCACGCCCTGCCGGCGATCCGATTCTTGTCGTGTGTGCTAGGCAGTGGCCCGCACTCGCCTGGAGGGCGACGTAGGGCCCTGAGGCAGAGACCGAGACCACGGATGACACTGAAGCCTGCCTGTCTTCTTTCCCTACACTCGTACCTCTGCAGAATGCAATGTGTAGGTGAGGCAGGGGGAGATGAATAACCAGTGGGGACACCACTGTGGACATCCTGTGCTGGAGTCGAGTTAGGAGAACGTACAATGTAAGCATCCAGACGAAGTGCAGCCGCAGCCTGCTCCCGGCGCCAGGGTGTGAAGAGCGCCACGTGGTGTCCTCTTCCGAGCATCACGATGGCCGCGACGCCCTGAGGTCCATCCCTGAGACAGCTGCCTGGAGCTGCTGTAATGCCCACCCCGTTATCCAACAGTACGGCTCCCATTGGCATGGGACATTTCTCAGGAGAAGGGGACAGATGTAAACAGAAACCGTGACCCACAAAGCCACGGACTTGGGGCCCGGTACTCAGTGACAGGCAGCCATTTCCAGTGCCTAAGGGGACCATATACAGTGAATTGTCTTGGTCACTTTTTCTATCACTGGAACAAAGTAACTGACACCCATAGCTTAATGCAAGAGAAGTCTATTGGGCTTCCATCTCAAAAGCTTCAGTCCTTGCAGGTCAGCGCATGGCGCAGGGGCCTGGCGGTGGGAAGCTGCTTGCATCATGGCAGCTAGGAAGCAGAGGAGAGGGACTGGGGGGAGGAACCAGAGATGGGGTGGAGCCAGAGATGGGGAGGAACCAGGGATGGGGAGGAGCCAGAGATGGGATGGAGCCAG